TAAACCAAACGACCACTTTTTTATAATTTAGATCACTTTTTTTTTTTTTTAAAAAAAAAAAATTTTTATCATCACATTTAAACGGATTATTATATAGATCTTAAGGTAATTTAACTATTAAACGTACTTAATTTTTATTATTATTATTCTTATTTTAAATTAATATCAACTTTCATCTATTTGTTATAGCCAGAAAATCTTCTTTTTAGAACCAAATCGGAAGATTCCGATCTTCTTATTGCCGATTTTGGTCTTTCTCGGATCATTGATTCTGAAAAATTCCATGTTCTTACCACCACATGTGGTACACCTGGTTATATGGTAAGAAGTTGACGGACTATTTCAAGTCGTAATTATTACAAATTGAAATAATTATTAATACATTGTTTATAGGCACCCGAAATTTTCAAAAGAACTGGTCATGGTAAGCCTGTAGATTTATGGGCTATAGGAGTAATTACATTCTTTTTATTATGTGGATATACGCCATTTGATAGGGAGAGTAGCGTTGCAGAAGTGGAAGCTATTGTTCGAGCTGATTATAAATTCGAACATCCGTACTGGGAAGGGATCAGTGAGACTGGTAAAAATTAAAATTTTAATAATTTGTGGATTCATTAATGTATATGTATATATTAAACATTTCTTTCTCTTTATATATCTATAGCTAAAGATTTTATCAATAAACTATTAAATGTTGATCCTGAAAGTCGTCTTACTGCCCATCAAGCTTTGTCTCATCCATGGCTTTCTGAACCTTTACCTAGCCCAACTGGTGGATTTCAAAATAGGGATTTGTTGAATAGTGTTCGCGAAAATTTCAATGCTCGTCGTACATTCAAAAAGGCTGTTGATGCAGTTAAAGTTATTAATAGCCTCAAAAGTCATTCAAGAAGTGCTAGTCTTGCCAACTTATTAGAAACATCAAGAGCTGAAGCAGATGAAGATGTCCAACAGGTTTTGCTTGTCGAGCAATAATGATATTGTGAATGTGTGTATTTGGTAGAGTATGACACATAAAAATTTGGGATGTATTATGTTGGTTAGAGAATTAATGTTGGTTGTTTCGACTCGGTTTTTTTTTGTTGTTTTGGTTTCTTATTTATTTTCAACTTTGATTCATTTATTTATTTGGCTTTATAATTATTCAACCTTTTATGTTTGTAACATTGAAACCTTTGTATGTTGGTAGTATTTATTTTTATTGTAAATTTGTAAAAAATGAAATGATCACACAATTCAAGATGGAAAGTAAATTGCCCGTTATATTTTTTTTTTTTGTTTATATTTTAATTTCTTTTCTTTCTATAAATATCGACATTTTGCCAGAATTGTATCAAAAAAAAATAAATAAAAATACAAACAATTAGTATGTTATTTTCGAGCATTAAAATATTTTATAGGACAAATTAAACTATTTTAACGATGCAAATGTATCAAATTCCATTTAAAATTAACTTTCGATAAGGGACAACTTAATGAATTACAATTACAACCATTTTTAAAAAATTTTATTATAACTTTAATTTTTTTTAAAATTTTTTAATTTAATACAGAATTTATAAATTAATATTTAAATAATTATATATTTTAATAAGTTTTTTTTTTTTATTTTTTATTTTAATTTTAAACAAATAATATGTATATTTATTATGAATAAAAGAATCAAAATTAAGTAATACTTTAATATAAAAATATATTAAACTTTGATTTTTGATAATAAATTTAAGAGTAAGTTTATTCATCGCGGGGGCGATACTCCTTATACATCGCCTTTATATATATACCTTACCCTAACCCTAACCCTAACCTAACTCTAAGCCATGTGACACTTACAATATGACAAATAGGGTTTCACACATGAAAATTTTCTCTTTACCCAGAATATATATGAAAAATGAAAAAGGGAGAGGGTGTGACACGGGTGACAAAAAGGAGGCGATGATATCGCGCCCGCGATGAATAAATTTATTTTAAATTTAATTAAATATAAATTATATATCAAATCTTTTAGGATTAGTAACATTAGTCTAAAAAAAGAAAGGTATTTAAAGTAATAAAACATATTTTACTTATTATTAAAGTTTAATTTGATTTTATTTTATTAATTTTTTTTTATAATAAGGTACAAAAAAATTTTAAACAAAAAGTATTAATATTATTATATATTATTTAGTTCTATTTGTAAATATAATCTATTTTTAAAAAATTTTTAATATTTTATACTTATTAATAATTTTAATTTTTTTTTTAACCAATAAAAATAATGTAATATTTTTAATTAATTTTATTAGTAAATATATAATTTATCTTAATATTATATTATGATTAATTATTATTATATAAAATCTTTGCATTAAAAAAAAGGGAAAATAGCCAAAAAAATCAATTTATTTTTATATATCAAATATGATTTTAGGTCAAATATGTTCAGATTTACATTAACTCATTTTTTATTTTCTAAATATTTTTTACTTTTCTATTATAAAAATTCCATATTTTTTTTTTGATAATAAATATTTTTTAATATTTTATTATATTTTTTCAAAACAAAAAAATTTAAAATAAAATAAAATAATATAATTTATTTGTATATATAATAAATATTTTATTATTATTCCTTAAACTATAGAGATTTTCAAGCAAATTTGCCTGTTTATTTACTGTAAATTCCCTTCTGATTTACTTTTATAAAAAATTAAAATTTTTAAATTAATTTTATAAATATATATAAGGATTAATTTAATTATAACAACATGTTACATTTAATATATGTAACAACCTTGAAAAATAAGATCAGATAAGATTAGATAAGATCAGATTTATTAAATAAAAAATTTTTTTAATATTAGGTTTTTTAGGTTTATCTGATTATAGATAAGTTTCTATAAAATACTAGTAATGTTAGTAAAATTTTAACTTTTCTTTAATGCTAATTAATATTATTAACAATCATTGTTGATCATTTACTTATATAGCATCCTAATACAAATCGAAATTTAATTGCTATTTTTAATGTTTGAATGTAAAAATTAAAAACATTCTTTTAATAATCTATCTATAACTTGTTAAAAGAATATGATTAAAACCAATAATCAAAATATATATATTATGATCTAAAATATCATAAAACTAATTAAAAGATGAATAGAATACAATAAACGAAGAATGAATAAATACCTACCGATTTTGCCATTTTGCACTATTATATCCTGATCGATTACATGTATTACAAGTATATTTTGCACGTGATTTCTTTTCGGTTGATGATTTGTACCGCTTTGTTTTTAAACGTCCTTTGCATCATGATACTAGCAGATTTTCAATTTGTTCAAGTTCATTTTCTTTATTAGTATCATTAACTTGCATTGATTCAGTTTATGTAATAATCATTTCTTTGTACCAATTAATAAACTGTTTTAGCCATTCAATCATCTCATTATAGCTATCATGTTCAACAGCAAATTGAGCTGCCTACCGTGCAAGTCCCTATACTTCTCCGTATTTAACCTTTTTTTTGCTGCATAACGTAAACCAGTAGTAATAGTCATAGGAATCGTTAAAGGATTTAGAGTAAATATCATGTCTGAAAAATTTTGTGTAGCCTCTTGGTTTACAAAATAACAGGTTTCCACTATTGCATTTTTGTCTTTTTAATCATCAATATACCACCACGAAGGTATTATTTGGATTTGAAATCCTGCGATCATCAAAATCATCATTACTCAAAAATAATGGTGACAAATAATACCATGAGATATATTAGACATACACGAACAAAGATATGAAATAGTATCAACTACTATCATAAAATGCATATGCTTTTTATTCTCAAATCGCATATTTGTAATCATCCATACTTCACGAATACTATTTTTGCCAACTTTAGCAATCATTGATTTTAATAGAATTTGCTTAGCATCATATAGGTTCTCAATAAATCTGTTTGTCATATTAATATTTAAATCCTATATAGCAAAAATTCTAGGTGTTAAGTTTTGTTAATAGTTTTAACTCCAAAAATAAATCACAATTACCTCGATTATATCTGATTCTACTTTATTTGCAATTAAGTAAAGACATTGTGCCATTTTTAAGCGTTCAGCAGATAAGATATGAGGCGTCAGATATTTAGACATCATTTTATCAATTTCAGGAAGAAGATCCCTGTCAACTGATGTGATTCCCATATAATTCGATAGGGTACGATATTCGAAAAAATGATTCTATTGCACCTCATTTTCAAGCTATACATCAAGGACACTGACAAGTTCATATAAGGAACTGTTATTTTTTAGCTCACGTTTGATAATATTATTAAAACCTTCAATATGAGAAGTAGTCTGTATTTCTACAGTAAATATTTTTGATGTAAATACGCGAGCTCACACTTGTC